TATAATTAAATAAATAAAAAAACGAAAAATTAAATAATATGATATAAAATAATACCCATTCAAAATTGGGTTGGGATAGTTTTCAAGTTTAGTTTTTTTATTATTTTAAAATAAAAACGAAATTAAAAAAAATAATGAATTACCAATTCAAAATTGGGGAGTAGTTTCAAATTGGAGTTTTAAATTATTTTAAAATAAAAAAAATGAAAAATCTATTTATATATAATTATACATATAAAAAACGAAAACACACACACACACACACACACACACACACACACACACACACACATATATATATATATATATATATATATAATTGGTTTATTTTATTTGATTTAATAAATATAGATATTCTTATAATTAAATATAATAAAAAAACAGCAAAAAATAAATATATAAAAAATAACTACCCATTCAAATTGGGTGGGAGTAGTTTCAAGTTTGAGTTTTTAAATTATTTTAAAAAAGAAATCAAAAAAAATATTAACCTAATAAAAAAAAGAAAAAAAAAGAGAAAAATTGCCCATTCAAATCGAGAAGTAGTTTCAATTGGAGTTTTAAAATAAAAAATAAAATTATAAAAAAATAATGAAATACCAAAATTCAGAATTAGGAGTAGTTTCAAATTGGAGTTTTAAAAATTATTTTGAAATAAAAAAAAACGAAAAATCTATTTATATATAATATACGATATAAAAACGAAAATAATAAAATAAAATAAAAAACTACCATATATATATATATAGTAATTGATTACTTTATTTGGATTAATAAGTATCGATATCGTATAATTAATATGATAAAAAACAAAAATAATATATATAAAAAATAACTGACCCATTCAAATTGGGTGGGAGTAGTTTTACAAGTTAAGTTTTAAATTATTTTAAAATAAAAAGCAAAAAAAAAAAATTTACCAAATCTCTCTCCAATACAGCACTATAATGTGCAAATCCGGGGTTTCAAACCCTCAGGATATCATTTACAAGTATTACTCACCTCGAACCGGTGAAATCTCTAGCTCGCGACGCCTTTGCCCCTCGAATCGGCCTCCACGCGCGTCAAATCTAACCAAAATCAGAGCGAATACATTACAATATGCCAAGGGAACAATATCCAATTGAAAACAGCCAAGAAATAGCAGAAATCTCGAAACTAGCAAAACCCGAGCCCCGGGCCCGCTTCTCGAAAAATTACAAAATTCACATTACCGGATTCCTTGTCTCGCCACGAGTCCATACATACCAAGAACTCCCAAATCCGAGCTCAAATGACCTATCAAATCCCAATTTGAAATATCAAAAACTCAAGCCCTAGCTTTACCCCTTTTAATGAATTCCAACCAATTTCCATGTTAAATTTAACAAAATCTCGAGTATTTAGTCCAAGGAACTTACCTCTAATCATTCCTCCTTGAATCCCTCTTCAAAATCGCCTCAAAGCTCTCAAAGCTCGCTCAAAATGGTGGAAAAATACATAACCCTCGCGGATGAAATATTATAATAAAAACCCCCTTCTGAACAGTTCTTTCCGCTTTTGCGGTCCTTTTGTCGCTTCTGCGACACCGTTTTTGCGGTTACTTATCCGCTTCTGCGGTTCCTCAACTTTTCCCCAAGACCCCTTCTGCGGTCAACCAATCGCGTAAGCGGGTCCGCTTCTACGGTCCGCTGGTCCGCTTTTGCGGAAAAATCTCCCAAGCCCATTTTCGCTTCCACGGGCCCCCTCTCGCTTCTGCGTGACCGCTTCTGCGGTCCATTTCCGCAGAAGCGGAAATACCAGGTACCAGATCCTTCAGCAGCCTTTAAACTCCAAATTTCATCCCGTTAACCATCCGAAACCACCCCGAGGCTCCCGGGACCTCAGCCAAAGGCACCAACATACCCCAATACATCATATGAACTTGCTCCAATCATCAAAACACACCTAACAACACTAAAATCATCAATTCACATCGGATTCAAGCCTAAGTTCTTCAAGAACTTCCGAAATGCACTTCCGATCAAAAACCCAACCAAACGATGTCCGAATGACCTGAAAATTTGCACACATATCCAAAATCACTTAATGAAGCTACAGCAACTCTCGGAATTCCATTCCGACCCCCGGATCAAATTCTCACCCATCCACCGGAATTCGCCAAAATACTAACCTCGCCAATTCAAGCCTAATTCTACACCGGGCCTCCAAAATCAATTCCGATTGCACTCCCAAGTCACAAATCATCCCCCGAAGCTAACCGAATCAACGGAAATCACATCCGAGCCTTCTAACTCATAAGTCAACGTCCGGTTGACCTTTCCAACTTAAGCCTTCCTTAAAGAGATTAAGTGTCTCATTTCCTATCCAAACCAATTCAATTCAACTATAACTCACTCGTTGCTGATAATGAAACATGAAGAAGCAGTAAATGGGGGAAACAGGGCTGTAATACATGAGACGACGGGTCGGGTCGTCACAACAATATAATTATACTAAATATTGGATAATATAATAAATAAAAATACATAACGAAAAAATTATTTGATGACTATATAAGTCCCTTTAATTTAATGGAGATTTTATTTATTAAAATTTAGACAATATCTATTCTATTTATATAGATTAGGATAATCAAATAATTGTGATAATTCCAAATGTAACATCGAAAAATTAACAAAGTGACAAATATTTTTTTTTAAATTGACCACGCATCGCGCGGGTACGACTACTAGTACTTTTTAAAACTGAAAACTGGAAAAAGAATATACTCCAATTCCAAAAAATGGACTCCCACGTTTTTCATTACTTTTTTTTTTAGTTTATTATAAACCTAAAAATTCATCAACAAATTTTTTACCATGGAATTTTTCATAGAAATAGTAATAAAGAAAAAAAAACTCCACAGTTGATCGTGGTCACAAACGTGGGCAACAAAATCCTAAACTAACTCAAACTCTCATCCACAACTACTTAAAAGAGGTACAAAGTAACTACTCTCTTTTCACTCTGCAACTTCTCATCAATTCAGTTTTCTCACAAAGTCCGACCAACTGCCAATCTCAAAATTCAATCAGATAAGTTCACCAAAAGATAGACTTTGTTGTGCATCAGAATCAGCAAGCAAACAGAGGTATTGCCGAGTAGCCCCGCCAGATTTCACTTTTTTTTTCAAAAGTCTCTACAACTTCTCATATCAAATTCAGTTTCTACGGAATAGAATAGCAGAAACTCGCAACAAAAAATAGAATATGCATATGAAACCAAAAACGACCTAAATATTCCTCTCATAATAATGGTACGAACTTTTATCACTGTTTACATATTTTCAATACAATATCATATACTATTGTTCTTCAATATAAGAACACTAAAAATTAATCATCACATACGACAAGAGACAAATATGTATGTTATGCTATATTCCCTTTGTTACAATACATTTGTGATATATTCAACTGTTTGCGTAAATTAAATCTGACTGCCTGTTTAATCTGCCATGAACTATTGATCATGTCTGTCAAATGTTTTAAACTATTCAAAATTTTAGCATGTAATTTGTGTACTTTGTAATGACGAAGAAACAAATATGTATATTATGCAGTTCCTTTGTTCCAATGCAATAGTCCTACGTTCTTTTATTTGGCTTAAATTGGATTATCCTTCTTTTTTACCTGATTCTACTAGAACAGAATAAATCTACCCCAAGTTTTGATCGCGTCCTTAATTTTCTTTATCTCCTTTCTGTTGGGAAATAAATAGTAAACTTGTAACGACCCGGCCGGTCGTTTTTGGAATTTACGCTCCGATCTCCTATTAACTGTTTCCCCCAAGCTTATTTCTGCTATTTTGATTCGCCGGGATATTCGGTTTTGAGTTTTGGAGAGTTTTGGGACACTTAGTCCCTAAATGAGAGCTTAAGTGTTGGAAAACTGACCATAGTCAGAACAATGTGAAGACGGCCTCGGAACGGAAATATGATGGTTCCGTTAGCTTCGTTAGATGATTTCGGGGTTGGGAGCATGTTCGGAATGTGTTTTGGAGGTCCGTAGCTAATTTTGGCTTGAAATACCGAAGTTTGAATTTTTGAAGTTTCCGGTCCGATAGTGAGATTTTGATCCGAAAACATGGACATGATAGGCGTGCGAGAACTCACATAGGAAGACCAAGATTAGGATTTATTTTACTATGAATTTTAATATGGGTCGAAGATTTAAAAATCAAGGACATTTTGAGATATTGAGCGATCCTTTTGGGTTGCCATTTCTGTGAAAAATCAATAGAAGTTAGATATGTGTTTAATGATTTTTAGATCCAGGTTAAGAGAAGAAAACCCTAGCTATGTGGTTGATTATAACGTACTGATGGGTATGGATTGATTATCTTTTTACCACTCTACTCTCGATTATTTTGGAAAGACTATTAAGTTTGGGGAACCTTAAAAGCTAGTTTTGTTCAGAAAGGGGATTATAGGTTTTAGAGATGAGTAAATTATATATTTGAAGGCTTAACGGTTATAGAAGAAAGGTTGTTCGGGTCTCACAGATTTAGTAAGGCGTACAAAAGAAGAAACACAAAGTTTGAAAAAAAATATGTATCATAATGAGAGATTCTCTAATATATTGATTTACTAGGACTACCTTCAATATGAAAAATAGTATTGAGCTGACACCTGACACGAGAACCATGTCATATAGCACCGACAGAGTTGTGAGATCTAAATGAACAGTTGCGAGACCTACTGGATAAGGGTTTTATCATACCGAGAGTTTCACCATGGGCTGCACCAATATTGTTTGCAAAATAAAAAAGAATACGTCCCTAAGAATGTGCATCAACTATAGACAATTGAATAAGTAAAGATACACAATAAATACACATTGTCTCGAATAGATGGCTTGTTTGATCCATTACAATGAGCTATTAATCTTCAGTCTGGTTATCATCAGCTTAGAATAAGAAAGGAATATATTTCGATGTCCGCCTCTAGAACTCGATACATACATTAGGAGTTACTTGTGATGCTTTTTGGACTGGTCAATGTTCCAGCTGCATTGATGTATATAATGGATATGGTATTCAAGTTGTTTAAGGAAAAAAAAATTCTTAGTTTTTACTTACAATATTCTGATATATTCTCGTAGCCAGGAAGAACACGAGGATCGCTTGAAAAATGTATTAAAGACGCTGGAGGAAAATCAATTGTTTACCAAGTTCTTGAAGCATGAATTTTGGCTAGACTCAGTGGCATTCCTTGGCAATATTGTAACTACGGATGTGATTACAGTAGATTCTAATGGGATAGAAGCGGTTCAAAAGTGGCAAGAATCAACTGCTTCTATGGAGATTCACAACTTCTTGGCTAAGGAGGCTACTACAAGTAATTTCTGTATAATTTCTCAATTTGTCCATAGTAGTGCAGCCATTTACCAAGTTAACATAGAAAAAAAAGGATAATTCAAAGTTTCAGTGGATGAAGAAATGTGAGTAGAGCTTTTAGAATCTCAAGAAATGTTTGACCACTATTGGTATTAGCTTTACCATCAAGTTTTAGTGAATTCACGATATTATGTAATGTTTCAAAAGTCGGATTAAGATGTGTGATCATATAGAATGATTGGGATATCTTGTGCTTTAACACAAACAATAAAAAAATACGAACAAAACTATTCTACTTATGATTTGGCCGCAATGGTATTTGCTCTAAAGATCATAGACACTATTCATACGACAACTCTTGCAAGATTTATACTGACCCTAAGAGCTTGAAATAAATTTTCAGCAGAGAGATTTGAATCTTCGATAGTGCCGATGGATTGAGCTTCTCAAGGACTAAGATTCTTCTAATTTGTATTATCCTGGGAAAGCCAATGTTGTGGTTGATGCATTGAGCAGAAAATCTATAGATAGTTTAGCACATATAGCTGGAGACTTTTGGCTGAAGATATGCATAAACAAGAGGGTACCAGTATCAAATTTATTATAGGGAATTCAGAGATATTGATGGCTAGTGTTAAAGCCAAGCCTTCACTAGTAGAGTAGATAAAGGCTACTCAATATAAAGATGAGCAACTATGTAATATGATGAGGTCCTAGGTAGTGAAAGCAAGGATATGATTATTGATAGTGATGGTATTCTTTGACTAGATGATTGGTCACGTGTACCAGACGTAGATAGGTTAATACGAGTTATTCGTGAGGAGCTCACAACTCTTGATACACTATACATTCGGGGTCCAATAAGATGTACCATGACTAGAAGAAAATTGTAGATGTGAGAAAAGAAAGAACAAATTTTAAATTTTCTCAACTTGTTTCTAACTACTTGACTTATTGGCATGTCAAGGCAAATATTTTTGATTTACAGGACCACTACAACAACTCGAGATTTCAAAGTGGAAGTAGAATATAATTATAGTGAATTTTATGACGAGACTACCTCAAACAATAAGAAGATATGATTATATGTGGGAAATTTAAATATGTTTCCATAGTAAGCATACTTCTTACTTGTCAATACTTCTATAGTGAGGTGATATATGCACATATATACATGAAGTGAAAATTTTCGGACTCCATAGGATTTTATTGTCCATCATTTTTGTAAGAAGATCACAAGTTACTTCACGTTTTTGAAAATCTTTTCAAGAATTATTGAGTACACAGGTAGATCTTTGTATTGCATTTCGTCCATAGACATACGGACAGTCTGAACGTACTATATAGATCTTGGAGGATATGTTAAGAGCATGTATCCTTGAATTTGGAGGTAGTTGGGATGCTTATTGATAAGAGCATTTTATCAGATGTTAACCACATAATTTCTCTCATAAAAACATATAAATTATCATGTTTCCTCCATATTATTAACTTTATTTTGCAGGAATAATTATAGAAGAATTGTTGTGCACAATATGAAAAAAGAAAAACAAATATTCAAGAAAAATACAACAAAGAAGTGTAAGATCGAGCTATGATTCATTACTGCCGTGACAATGCATCAAGTCTCGATTTGCCATGATGAAATCGATGAAATCTAAACTTAGAATGACAAAATTCTTCTCTGCAAATCCAAAATCTAGATTTGCCATGAAAATCTAGCACCAAATCGAGAATTCAAATTCTCATATCTGCAAATGCAAAATCTAGATTTGCCATGGAAATCTAGCACCAAATCGAGAAGTCATCATGAATTTTTCTTATATAAGAAGTTGTTGCTCGATCAGAAGAAGGCATCGCAGTAGAGAGAAAGCTTAGAGCTAGAAGTCTGAATCCAAATTCTTAATAAGCTTCTCTTTTTTATTTCTTTCACTAGTATCGAGTTATCTTTTATTTTAAATCACAATAGTGGTTTAGTTGTTGTTTCTAAATAAATTCCAGTGTAGAAAATTACTCTAGCTCTTGCTTTTAATTAAATAGGGGGAATTATTCTTCTTGAATATTTCTTTCTATTTTCTTATTTAATGGACAAGAATATTTCCATTGTTAGTACTAATTCCAATATGGAGTAACTTTTCTTGTGTTGGGAGGAAGACGAATCTTAATATTTCTATATAATAGTAGATATTATTCTTCAAATTCACATGCTTGCGCTAAAATTTATTTAACTTTTATCTGCTTTTACAGTTAGGCGTTATTTAATTTATTAACATCTATCTATCTTGTACTACATATTAACTGTTTATTAATTCTGTAATCGAGAGAGGTGGAAGAAATAATATAGTTAATTGTAGTATTGATAGATGTTAATATTTATTCAGTAATATCCATCTCTTTTATGTTATAATTAATTGTACACTTATTTGTAAAGAGAGAGAGGCGAATAGTGTAATAATCAGTTATAACAAGTAGGATAACCGAAATGGACTAACTAACAAGAGCATGTTTTAGTTCAATCATATATTTCTGGTTCTTGAGTATTACTATTTTGAAGATTAATTTGTATAACCGAGAGGAGTGCAATTAATTATTCAACTTGAGTAATAGTATATATTTATAATCGTGAGAGGCATTTATACATTTTTGAGAAATAGAAATTGAGGAATAATAGTTCTACTATATAATAGAAATATTAAGTGAAGTCAAGATCTCAATACCTTTTTAATATATTTGTGAAAAATAAAATATTTTCTAATGTTCTATTCGTGCATTTTTAGTTAGCTAATTCACAACTCAACTATTTCTGATTATCTCAAATTGTAATTAAAACAAGAAATGTCTGAAGAATAGATAAACCAATCTCTGTGGGTTCGACATCTTTCTATACTATTATTTGACGGAGTACGAGTTAGAATTTTATATACGCTAGACACTCGTCAAATTTTTGGCGTCGTTGCCGGGGAAAAGTCTACTACAGATTAATTGTTTTACTACTAATTTGAGATTTTTTTGTCTAATTATTTTAACTTTTCTGCAGAAATATCAGAAAGTGTATGACCCGTTCCTCTTCTAGAGAACTAGTCAAATACGATCCTGAAATTGAAAAATTCTTACGGTTGTTGCGAAAAGAACAAACCTCATAATCTCAAATTTATACATCAGAAGAAATGGAGAACGAAGAACTCAATAACCAACTCCCACCACATCAAGTGGAAGAACAGTTCGATGAGGTGGCACCACGACGTGATAGAATACTCCATGATTATGCACGGCCATATCATTTTGAAGGAGAATCAAGTATGAGGAGACCACCAATTGCAACAAACAACTTTGAAATCCACACAGGATTGATTCAAACCATTCAATAATCATGTCAGTTTACTGGTGATGCGAGTGAAGATCCTCACACCATTTAATTGATTTTCTTGAATTTGTTGGAACTTGCAGGTATAATGGAGTCACGACAGATGCTATCAGGTTGCGACTTTTTCCTTTTTCATTAAAAGGTGAAGCCAAAATATGGTTGCGAAGTCTACCAAGAGGTTCCATTACAACATGGGACCAAATGACCCAAAAATTTCTTAATAAATATTTTTCACCTGCAAAAAAGTTTAAAATGAAGCAAAAATTCAAGACCAGGAATGGCAAAGATTAGCTGCAATGTTAAGAAAATGCCCACATCATGGTATCCAAGACCCTGACATTTTATATATTTTCTATTACGGTCTTAAGCCCTCTGCTAGAAATGTAATTGATGCAGCATCAGGAGGATCAATAATGGGAAAAACTACTACAGAAGCAATGCAATTGTGTAATGAGATTTCGGAAAATGCTGTTCAATGGCCCTCAGATAGATATGTTTATCAAAAAAATGACAGGAGTAAATCAAGTTGAAGCTTTGAATTCATTAACACAACAAATTGCGACTTTAACACAAAAAGTGGAGGCTTTTTAGGTAGGTGCTCACTCATCATCCCAACTTGAGAATTGTGATGTTTGTCAAGGTAATAATCCGAATCACGAATGTCAAGCTTCAACACAAAATGAGGAACAGGTAAATGTGATTGGTCATAGAAATAATTATTCATTCGGTAGTCCCATGGCACAAAACATCAGGGATTTCAATGGAGTAATCCTAATGGCACTGAAAATCCTCAAAGATTTTTCAATCAAAAGAAGCAGTGTAAGGACCCAACCGATTGTTTTGAGCACTTGCACTTCGCTCGCTAGTTCTCGGGCATGACTAGCCCCGTATGATGTATTATGACTCATGTAAATCTTTGGTTTTGGTTTTCAGGTTAATCGGAATAGATATGGAAGAATGGTTCTCAACATGAAGCTTTAAATTTGAAAGGTTGACCAAGTTTTGACTTCTTAGTATTTGATATCGGATTTGGATTTTTATGATTTGGTTAGCTCCGTTGGGCGATTTTGGACTTAGGAGCGCGTTCAGAATGGAATTTAGATGTTCATGGTAGATTTAGGCTTGAATTGGCGAAATTGGAAATTTGGCATTTCCGGTCGGCAGTGAAAATTTGGATATCAGGGTCAGAATGGAATTCCCGAAATTGGAGTAGGTTCGTTGTGTCATTTGTGACGTGTGTGCAAAATTTCAGGTCATTCGAAGGTGATTTGATAGTTTTCGACGTTGTTTGTGGAATTTGAAAGTTCTTAAGTTCTTAAGCTTGAAACCGAAGTTGAGTTGGTGTTTTCGTGTTGTTTTGAGTGATTCGAAGGCTCGACTAAGTTTTAATGATGTTACGGGATGTGTTGGCATGTTTGGTTGAGGTCCCGAGGGCCTCGGGTGTGTTTCGGGTGAGTTTTGAGCGAGTCCGGGCATTACCGAAACTCAGGCAATGGTTCTGGTGCTTAAATTTACCGTTGGGGCGGAAAAAGGAGCGCTGGGGCGGTCCGGGAGGAGAATCCGCAGGTTCGTTGGTCCAACTTCGGAAGCCTATATCTTTTGATATACAAGGATTTTTGAGATGATTCAAAAACGAAAGTAGTAGCCCTTTGTGTCTAGTTTCCAGAAAGGTAAAGACATCATAATTTGAACATCTGTAGAGAAAGTTATGGCCGAAATACTAAGGCCTGTCTGTGCAGCCACCAGAAGGCGCGACAACGGTGGTTTTACTGCGATCAGCGGTGGTTTTACCATGGAAGCGGTGGTTTTAATGCGGTCAGCGGTGACGGAAATCCTAGAGGT